ACTCTGAGTCAATCCTGCTGGGAAATTCTAGGAGACAGTAGAACACAAGATCCTAGTTATCCCTCTTGAAGACAAGGGAGTCGGGGTGTTTGTAATCCCAACAGTCATTGGTTGAGGGCTTCTGGGGAAGGGGGTTCTGCCCTTTCAGGCTTCTGTGCACACAGGAAGAGCTGGCTCCCGCCAAGACAAAAAGTTCTCAGGAATCAGGAAATGAGGCTGGTCAGGTTCCACAATGCACCAACAACTATTTGCCACTGACCTAATAAAACAGGGAACTACCACTGATGAACTTGTGCTCCTGGTGACAAATTTCAGGACAAAAACTCCTCTGAGGACAGTGGGGGCAGGACATGCAGGTGTCCTGAGGTGATGTGGACTGAATTGTGTACTCCCTCAAGATTCGTATGTGAAGCCCTAACCCTGGTACCTCAGAATGTAATTACATTTGGAGATAAGGTCTTTAAAGGAGCAGTTAAATTAAAATGAGTTCATTATGGTGTGTCCTTATCCAATATGACTGCTGTCATAAAAAGAGGAGATTAAGGCCTTTCTCCCTCCCCAGCCATCTTGGTGGATGCTCTTGGCTGGGGGCCCTCCCACATCTAAGACAGGAAGATGGTGGCTGCAAAAAAGATTTTAAAAAATCACTGGAGTCAATCAACTGTAGGCTCCAACTCATTATGAAAAGTGAAAAGTATGGCCGGGCGTGGTGGCTCACACCTGTAATCCTAGCACTTTGGGAGGCCAAGGCGGGCAGATCATGAGGTCAGCTGGCTAACATGGTGAAACCCTGTCTCTACTAAAAAATGCAAAAAATTAGCTGGGCACGGTGGCAGGTGCCTGTAGTCCCAGCTACTTGGGAGGCTGAGGCAGGAGAATGACGTGAACCCAGGAGGCAGAGCTTGCAGTGAGCCAAGATTGTGCCACTGCACTCCAGCCTGGGCGACAGAGTGAGACTCTGTCTCAAAAAAAAAAAAAAAAAAAGTGAGAAATACATGCTGGAGTAGCTGGAGTACAAGAAGAATCTGAAGATGATCAGACAAGGCAAAGTGAAACTGGTCATCCTTGCCAACAATTGTGCAGCTTCGAGGAAATCTGAAATAGCATTATTACAGCATATTGGCCAAAACTGGTGTCCATCACTACAGTGGCAATAATAATAAATTGTGCACAGCATGCAGAAAATACCACAGATTCTGCACACTAGGTATCATTTACCCAGGTGATTCTGATATCATTAGAAGCATGCCATAATAGACTGGTAAAAGGTAAACCATACAAAATTGTTCTGTAATAAAACTTGCCAAAGCTTATTTAAAAAACCAAACAGGCTGGGCATGGTGGCTCATGCCTGTAATCCCAGCACTTTGGGAGACTGAGGCAGGCAGATCACCTGAGGTTGGGAGTTCGAGACCAGCCTGACCAACATGGAGAAACTCCGTCTCTACTAAAAACACAAAATTAGCCAGGCGTGGTGGCACATGCCTGTAATCCCAGCTACTTGGGAGGTTGAGGCAGGAGAATCACTTGAATCCGGGAGGCGGAGATTGCGGTGAGTCGAGAACATGTCATTCCACACTCTAGCCTAGGCAACAAGAGCAAAATTCTGTCTCAAAAAACAAACAAACAAACCAAAAAGAGGAGATTAGGACACAGACACACACAGAGGAAAGACTGTGTATGGACACAAAAGAAGACAGCCATCTACAAGCCAAGGACAGAGGCTTTGGGGGAAACCAACCCTACCAACACTTTGATCATGGTCTTCCAGCCTCCAGAACTGTGAGAGAATAAATGTGTGTTGTTTAAGCCACCCAGTCTGTGGTACTTTGTTATGGCAGCACTAGCAAACTAATAACGTAAGGTACATTCAGAAAAGATAGAAACCGCATGGGATCAAATAACAAAAGTCCACCTGATCTTTATTTTCAGTTGAATGCAAACTGAAAACTGGCCTCACAAGCTATTTGACATTGGGGGTTTTAAGCAGGAAATGTCAGAATATGGATAATGGGCTTGTAGCAGCCAATTAGCATGGCAACATTGCTTTTTGATCCTTCAGAAATGACTGTAAGTGATAGAAAACTCAAATAACCTTGGCTTAAGCAAGATAAACATGTATTTCTCTTTCACAAAGGTGTGGGTAGTTGAGCTGATATAGCTGGCTCTCCATGGAGTCAGGGACCCAGATGCTGCCATTTTATGGGTCCATCAGAAGGCCCTCCCCTTGTGGCCTAAGATGGCTTCTTGAGCTTCAGCAAACATGTCCAAATTTCAGCCGCGTTGGGCCGTTCTTGCATTGCTATAAAGAAATACCTGAGACTGGGTAATTTATAAAGAAAAGAGGTTTAATTGGCTCACTGTTCTGCAGGATTTACAGGAAGCATAGTGGCTTCTGCCTCTGGTGAGGCCTCAGGAAGCTTCCAATCATGGTGGAAAGTGAAGGGGGAGCAGGTATCTCGATGGCAAAAGCAGGAGCAAGGGCGGGGGAAGGTGCCACACACTCATACACTTTAAAACAATCAGATCTCATGAGAACTCACTACCATGAGGACAACACCAAGGGGATGGTGCTAAACCATTCATGAGAAATCCACCCTCATGATCCAGTCACCTCCTCCTGGGCCCCACCTCCAACTTTGGGGATTACATTTAAACCTGAGATTTGAGAGACAAATATCACATCTATATCACCAGCCAATAAGAGGAAATAAATGAAGAACATCATCCTCCCTTCACAGCCACATCCTGGAAGTGTTGCACATGGCACTTCTGTTTATGTCCCATTGGCCAGAACTTAGTTCCATGGCCACATATTATTGAAGTGAAGGCTGGGAAATGTAGCCTATATTCTGAGTGGCTATGTAATGGGGGTCTTATTACTAAGAAAGAAGGGGAGAACAGAGATTGAGGTCCTACTGGCAATGTTGACCATGTGTAAATTACAGATCACATCTCCAATTATATAGATGAGTAAACTGAATTTCAAAAGAATAGATTGTTAAATGATTTGCCCAGAATCTCACATTGAACAAGTGACAGATTAAAAAGCCATGGTGTTTCCCAAGGATGATTAAGTCACTTTTCATGAAATGTTTTATCCAGAGAGATCAGTAGTACTTCTAGTTTTATCAGTTAACTTGCTGGGTCCCAGTGGGTAAGTTTTAATAACTGACCTGTTTTCAATGTGCAGGTCTTGTTTGTGAAAAAAAAATTATTGAAAGTGTTAAAATTAATTCGGTTTAATGCAACATTAATTGAACAGTTGATGTGCCCAAACATTCTTCTGAATGCCAGAGATTCATATCTACTGCCTCCCTCACCAGACAACTTCATAGGGCCATCGAAATGTCTTTCTTTCCTTTTTGGCCAGGGATGCCAGGGAAGAAGGATATAAGTCCAGGTTCTAGTCCAGTGCCTGGCACATAGTAGGTGTTGAATTAAAAGTTAGGTAAATCAATAAGTGACCAAGGAAGGGGGATGGAGAGGCAAATAATGTTATTTATATATAAAGAATAAGTGTATACACACACACACACACACACACAGTATAGCATTTCAAAGAATGAATATATGTTTATATGCATATGTATAAACATATAAAACTATAAGTTTATATAGGGCATATATATATTATATATGTAAAAACATATAAAACATTCCACAGAATACAGATAAGAGAGAAACTGAGTCCACATGAGAGAATCAGGGAAAACTGAATACAGTGGATGACACTTATACTGTTCTTATGGAGCAAATGTGAGCCCACCTGATACAAAATGGGCATAGAAAGCAAATATTCCAATGCTTAATTCCTAGTAGGTATTGCATAAGAGTAAATGAATGGATGGATAGATACATACCTGCAAAAAGAATGCATAAGGAGGGCATCAGCCCAAGATACAGAAAATGGACTGGCCAGAACCTTAGACCATAAGCCCAGTGGCTGCCAAGAGGCAAAGAAGGCAGGCTGGAACCAGGCTGTGAGGAGCCCAGTACACTGAGCCAAGGAGTTTGGACTTGGTTCTGAGAGCAATAGCGAGCAAACAGGCCATTGCAGGCTCTGTGTTCTTTAAAGTTGACACGATCGTGACTAATTCATGCACAGAATTATGACACAATTGCACAGAATTATTAAGCTAATGAGTTTAGTTTAATTGGCAGCATTTTTCTTTTCTAATGTACATAATAATAGTATGCTTATAATCCATGATATCTCAGATTTAATGAATATAAGTACAAAATTAAAATACCAAAGCAACAAACATCAACAAAGTTCATCACCTTGCTCTTCAGCATACTCTTTGCTTGGTTTCTGGATACCACATTTATTAGTTATCTATTGCTACGCAACAGAATACTTCAAAATTTAGTGGCTTAAAGCAACATTTATTATTTCACACATTTTCTATGATTCAGGAATTCAGGAGCAGCTTAGCTAGATGGGGCTTGGGGGTTTTTCTTAGACATTTTTTAGAGCAGTTTTAGATTCATAGCCAAAGGGCTTGGAGTTTTTAATTCTTATTTTAGGTTCAGGGGTACCTGTGCAGGTTTGTTATATAGATAAATTCATGTCATGGGGGGTTGTTTTACAGATTATTTTGTGACCCAGGTACTAACCCTAGTATCCAATAGGTATTTTTTCTGATCCTCTCCCTCCTCCTACCCTCCACTCTCAAATAGACCCTGGTATCTGTTGTTCCCCTCTTTGTGCCCATTGGTTCTCATTATTTGGCTCCCACTTATAAGTGAGAACATGCGGTATTTGGTTTTCTGTTCCTGCATGAGTTTGCTAAGTATAATGGCCTCCAGCTCCACCCATGTTCTTGCAAAGGACATGATCTCATTCTTTTTTATGGCTACATAGTATTCCATGGTGAATATGTACCATAGTTTCTCTATCCAGTCTATGACTGATGGGCATTTAGGTTGATTCCATGTCTGCTATTGTGAATAGTGCTGCAATGAACATTGTGTGCATATGTCTTTATGGTACAATGATTTATATTCCTTTGGGTATATACCCAGAAATGGGATTGCTGGGTCAAATAGTCGTTCTGTTTTTAGTTCTTTGAGGAATCGCCACACTGCTTGGGCTTGGAGTTTTTTACAAGGTTGCAATCAAGTTGTTGATCAATGCTGTAGTCATCTGACATCTTGACTCTGGCTGGAGGATCTGCTTCCAAGATGGTGTACTCACATGGCTGTTGGCAGGAGGCCTCAGCTTCTCTCTATGTGGACCTCTCCATAGGGCTGTTTGAATGTTCTCACAACTGTTAGCTGACTTCCCCCATAGTGACTAATCCAAGAGAGAGAACAAGGAGGAAGCTACAATGCCTTCTGTGTCCTAATTTCGGAAGTTACCCCAATCACTCCCACAGTATTCTTTGTTAGATGTCAGTCACTAAGTACAACCCCACATAAAAGGAGGGGAATTCACCTTTTGAAAGGATAAGCATCAGATAATTTATGGACATATTTTAAAATCATCACAGCATACAACACGTTCTAGTTTGCCTTCGCCCACACTGGTTACTCTTCCGTTCTTCAACAGGATTTAAAGTGCTGTATTTCCACAGAGATTAATCTCTGACCCTATTTTCTTTCTTATTTATACTCTCCAGGTTATCTTCCCAGTCCTAGCACTTTCAATGCCATCTATATATATATTCACATCTTCAAAATGTGAATCTCAAGCCCCAGCCTCTTTCTGCTGCATTCTTGACCTATTCATTGAGATGTCTCACTGAGCCTAAGACATCCAAAACTGAACTCTTGATCATCATTCAGAACTTGCTTCCCTCCACTTCACTCTTTCTCCCCACCCCAGAACAAACAGCATCCAAACTTGCTCAAGCCAATAACTGGGGTATCATTGCTGACAGGTGGGGCTCTTCCTCCCCACTTGTATTACATCTGCTACTAAGTCCTGTTACAAACCATGTCTCAAGTCCATCTCCTTCTATCCCCACTCTCTGCCCCTGCCTACCATCATCCAGCTACACCACTATTATCTCTCACCTGAACCACCACCACAATAGCTTCCTTTTACTTTTTCTTTTGCTCCCTCTAGTCCATGCTCCAAAGTGTTCCTCTTAACATTTAAATTAGACCATGTCAGCCCTCTTCTTAAAACTTTTCAGTGACTTTGCACCAGATTAAGAATAAAATTCATTCTACTTAAAATGACATAAATGGCTCTGCTTGATCTAGACTTTGACTACTTTTCTAACTCCATCTTCCATCTTATATCATTCTCCCCCATGCTTACTATGAATGAATGAATGAATGAGATGGAGAATAAATGTGGCTGTCTTGATAACACTTGCTTTATTGACTGCCTTTCCTTCCTAGTCTCACTTCCCCACTCCTTTATCAGCATTTCCTTCACCTCCTAAGTAAACCACTTCCATGCAAATTCTTGTCTCATGGTCTGCTTCTGGGGTAGCCAAAACCAAGACACTCCCCATCCCCAATCTCCACATAACTCCTGAGCTTAGAAGATAAATGAGGGAAACAGAGGAAGCAATGGAAAGTTCCAACTTTTGCCTGAAGTTTACTACTATCCCTACCAGTCATGGCATTAGAAATTTGAAGACACATCAACACACACTAGTATAGAAGAGCTTTATAACACAGGCAAGTTTTTTACTGGACACATAAGCCCCTACACATCTGGGAAAGTGAGATGTCTTGGGGTATCCCTGGGCCCACTGGACTTGTACTCTGTTTCTTGAAGGTAGATGAGAACCCAGACTTAATTTTAACTGGCTAGGTACAATGAACTTGCCATACTGGGAGCTATGATAAAAACAAAACAAAAATCAAAACCACCACCAACAAAAATCTTAATGGCTGGACCTTGTCATCCCTATTTAGAAAATCTTTTATTACATTTGTGTGGCAATATTTAAATGTATTTAAACATCGGCAAAAGAAGTTTAATTTCTCAATTTGTCTTGGAGAATATCATGAAGTTTCCTGGAACCTGACCATAAACAAACATACTAAGAATTCTGGCATAGTATATTTTTGCAGAAAATAAGGAATCCTATGAAGAAATACTACACTACTTACACAATCCCTGGAATGTTTTTAAATTAACTTCAGCTGTGGAGATGGTGATTTTTTGATTAATTTGATCAATGTAGACAGCAAGCTGTGTAATGCATTAAAGAAACTGGGCAATTCAGCATTTAGCTCAGACTCCCACAGCTCAGGGCTTCTACTCCACTGAGAATTCTTCACCTATATTAGCATTTCCCTGTCTCAAGACTCAGTTCCCTGAGCCTCATGTGTGCAAAATATTGTTTAGAAGAGACAGAGAGAGAGAGTGAGTGAGAGAGAAGCTGGCCAGTCCATCTAGACCTTCCAAGGTGGCAGAGGATGTTGATGGGATTAGTACAGTCCAAAAGTTGATTTATTTATTTATTTATTTATTTTTTTGAGATGGAGTCTCGCTCTGTCACCCAGACTGGAGTGCAGTGGTGAGATCTCGGCTCACTGCAAGCTCTGCCTCCTGGGTTCACGCCATTCTCCTGCCTCAGCCTCCCAAGTAGCTGGGACTACAGGCGCCTGCCACCACGCCTGGCTAACTTTTTGTATTTTTAGTAGAGATGGGGTTTCACCATGTCAGCCAGGATGGTCTCGATCTCCTGACCTCGTTATCCACCCACCTCGGCCTCCCAAAGTGCTGGGATTACAGGCGTGAGCCACTACACCTGGCTAAGTTGATTCTTAAACAACAATTACTTCCATTTTTTAACAAATGAGACTGATATAGATTTGATGGCAAATCTCCTATATCTTTCAACAGAACTATAATACTAAGATGCTTTTGTGACTGGGAAGGGAATTCCTTACAGTGGATAAAAAATCTTAATTTATTAACAAAGTTAATAAATTTTTGATGGCCCAAGTGTTAGTCATTAACATTTGGGGCAGATTTATAAGTGACACTTTACACAACATCAGAAACAATGATTTGGGAGAAATTAATACACCTCAGATTTCTCAGTTTCACCTTTTCACCTGAAAGCAGGCATGTGAAAGAAATAAAGATTGAGAAAAATGAGGATTTCTCTGGAGAGTTGTGGTAGTGTATAAACAGTATATGAATTTTATCTTTTGGTAACTTTCTCCTGTTAGTTAATCCTGGGCAGTATTCTTTGCAATCCCAAGTAATTTACTTTGACTGGTACATATGAAGTGGGTTTGACCACCTGTACCAAGCACTCTCGGCTGGTTTCTGATTAGGCTTTTTAAAAATATCAGATTTCAACAAATTTCAGTTTGGTTTTGTGTGAGTTCACATCTGTTTCAGAAATCTTGTTCAAGCTTAGTGAGCTCATCCTACTTCTAAGGAGGCTGTTTTGTGTATTATAAAATTTTTGATATTTCCAACCACTTAAAATCCACCTGTCACTGTCTGGAGCCTGCAGGAGGGACACAGGCCTTTTTCTTTTGCCCCCTGCTGTTTCCCTGCTCCTTCTTCATCCCAACATTCCCCTGCTGCCCTTCTCACTCCTCTGCTTCTAACACACACCACGATCTACACTCAAATTTTGAGGCCACCAACTCCTCATGTTCTTAATGGTGCTGTCCTTGGCACAGGCTATTTTTTCTGCCTGGAAAACTTTCCCCACCACACAGCCTCCTCCCACTTCTCCAGGCAAAGTTCCATTCATATTGAGCTCCATTTCCTCCAGAACACCACTCACCCACCCATCCCAATGTACTAACTTCCATATCTCCCCCTAGCTCCTGAGAACTTGCCCCTTTGGTAGGGTCATATGTTGGAGTATAATGGGGCTTCTCTCATATACCTCCTATAGTCTCAGTGCCTAGTACAGTGCCTGATGTGTGTAGTTCCTTAATAAATTTTGGGTAGACAAATGGATAAATGAGTAGGTGAATAGTTTGGTGAAGTGTGTTCTCCTCTGACTTCTAATACCAATGAAATCCTCAGTTTTTCTTGGCCTTAGTTTCTTCATGCACAGAATGATAGGTTGGAACCAGATGATATCTAAGGTAACTTTCTTTAAGGCGAAATTCTATGATAATCTCCCCTTACAGTGAAAATTTATTCCTACAAACATAAAAAAGAAAAGTCACATGGAACCTATGGCAGCTATGAGGATGCGCCTCGCAGACATCCAACTGCAGGGAGCATAATTGACCCAGGGTCCCAACTACTCTACTCTTGGAAATCCAGCACCACTTTTAAGTGAGGCTGCAACTCCCACAGGCTGCTCCCACCAATGACTGAGCATGGCAGGGATACTAAGGCAGGTCCTTCTGTGGGAAACATGGCTCTCCTCTGAAGGTCAAGACATCTGATAATATTAATCCTACTACTACTACTAATAAAAGCAATCAATTAGGGAGCATTTACTGTGTTAGTCACCATTCAAAGCCCTTTTCACATATTTAATGATTTCATTATCATGAATACCCTTAAGGTAAATACTGTTGTTTTCCCTGTTTTAGAAAAGAGATAGCTAATGCATAGAAAGAGAAAGTAACTCGCTGAAGGTCAGAGTTAATATATAGTAGAGCCAGAATTCAAATCCAGGAAGAAGACCGTAGTCCTGACCAACATGTTATGCAGCCTCTCAACATTCAGAGTTGATCTCACTCTTTTACTAGAAAAACTCTCCTCATTTGGCTTTCCTGACAATGTACTAACCTGGTGTTCCTCTGAGCATTGCCTGGGCCTTTTTCTAGACCTTCCTGCTCTTTGGTCCATCTCTTACATGCTGGTGTCCTTGGGACTGTGCCCTAAGCCTCCTTCTTTTCTTACACTGCATCCACTTCTGTAGAATCAGTTACCATCTACCTGCAGATGATTCCCAAATACAGTTCTGCTTCCTGAACTCTTCACCCAAATATCCAACATCCTACTCAACATCTCTTCTAAGTTGTCCGTCTAATGAGTACTCAAAATCAGCATGTGCCAAAGAGAATTCATCATCTATCCTATTCCCGAACATGTTCCTCCACCCGTATTCCTCATTCCAGAAATACGGTCTACTCGATGGTGCATCCCTCTGACAAACTATATCCAATCGACTAGGATATAAGCTCCACAAGGACAGAAATCTTATTTCCCTTTTGTTTGCTGATGAACTTCTGGAAACTAGCCCAGTGTCTGATACATTATAGGCACTCAATAAATACTTGTTGAATGAATGAATTGACTCTAATCCATTACCAAATCTTTCGGTCCCACTTTGATGCCATTCATTTCTCCTTACCTCCACTGCTACTGCTGCAGTCCAAGCAACCAGAATCTGTCTTCTGAGCCAACTGGTATCTTTTCTTCCATTCTGTCTCCCTCCAGTCTATCTTCCAGACTGCTTTCATGGTAATATTTTTCAAAAGAAAAACCTTATCAAATAACATTCCTACTTAAAACCCTTCAATGCTGTTCTATTGCCATTGAGATGTAAAACCCAAAGCCCTAACTTGATTCACAAGACCCTCTGTGATGTAGCCTCTGCCCACCTCTTGGGGCTCATCTCTCGCAAGCTTATTCCTCCCTGCCTTTATTCTAATCCTCTGGTCATCTACTCATTCCTCAAGCACAAGCATGGTGTCTTTTACCTCTTAGTCTGCACTTATTCTATTCCCTTTGCCTGTAATATTCTTTCACTTTATGTGGTTGAACCCTGTTTGTCTTAAGTCTAATTTAAAGTTTGCACCTTCAAAGGGAACATCTGGGACCCCTTAGACTGGATTATGTTTCTTTGATTTAAGCTGCTGTAATAGACTGAATATATTGAGTGCCTCTGTTACCCTGAACCCCTTGTCTAAAAGCTCATGAGTAGGGGACCCTCTATGCCAGGATTATAAGTGAATCCTCAGCACCTAGCACTATACTCCATACATATTAATGCCCTATTGAGGATTATACTGATTTTTTTTTTGCATCAGGAAATAGGTAAGGTCCTTCCTATTGTGATTGGGGAGCATATTGCTTGCAAACCTGCAGTCAAGAAGTTGACAGATCATCTCTAAGATTTTGTTGCTACATTTAATTCTAATTAAATGAACCCCACATTTCTTATAAAAATATGAAATTAAAATTCCAAGGGCAGAATTTCCCCCTATACAGCTTTTCTTTCGTCATGTTTTCTTTTGAAATCCAACTCAAATGTCACCTACCCTGGACATTTTCCTCCTCTTTCCCAGGCAAGGTTAGTTTCTCTCTCCATTCTGCTCCCCCAGGCATCAGCTTCATGTTGTTAAAGGAAGAGGTGAAAGCAAATTGTAGTGCTTGCTCAAGGTTTGTCACAGATGTGTATGGTTAAGAAATGGACTTACCGTGTATCTATGTGGAAGGGTTTTTTTACCAAGGTGTGGGACAGTTGTTTTTATCGACAAATTTCAATCTTGTGTTCAAATCTTAAAAACACCAAAACAAATAACCCAATTAAAAAATGAGCAAAGGACCTGAATAGACATTTATCCAAAGAAGATATATAAATGGTCTATAAACACATGAAAGACACTTAATATCATTAGCCATCAGGGAAATGCACATCAAAACAAGATGCTACTTCTCAAGCATTAGGATGACTAGAGTTTTTTAAAACGAACAATAACAAGTGCTGGTGAGGATGTGGAGAAATTGGAACTCTCATATATTGCTGGTGGGAGTAAAATGATGTAGCCATGTTGGAAAACGGTCGGGCAGTTCTTCAGAAAGTTAAACATACAACTATCACGTATCTTAGTCAGTTCAGGCTGCTATAACAAATTACCAGAGGTTGGGTGGCTAATAAACAATAGAAATGTATTTCTCACAGTTCTGAAGGCTGGAATTCCAAGACCAGGGTGTCAGCATGGTCAGGTTCTGGTGAGGGCACTCTTTTGGGTTGCAGCCTGCCAACTTCTCAAGCTCTCTAGCCTTTTCTTATTAGCGCACTAATCCCATTCATAAAGGCTCCACCCACATGACCTAATTACCTCCCAAAGACCCCACCACCAAATACCATCACATTGGGATTAGGGTTTCAATATATGAATTTTGGAGGACACAAACATTCTGTCCATTGCACCATATGGCCCAACGATTCCACTCCTGGGTATATACCCAAGAGAAATTAAAACATATGTCCACACAAAAACTTGTGCACCAATGTTCATAGCAACATTATTCATGATGACCAAAAGGTAGAAACAACTTAAATGTCCATCATCTGATGAGTGGATAAATAAAATGTGGTATATCCATATTATGGAATATTATTCAGCAATAAAAAGAAATACAGTACTGTTACAAGCTACAACATGGATCAAACTTGAAAACATGCTAAGTTAAAGAAGCCAGATGCAGAAGGCTACATATTATGTGATTCCATTTAAATGAAATATCTGGAATAGGCAAATCCAGAGACAAAAAGCAGATTTGTGGTTGCCAGGGGATGAAGGGAGGAGTTAGTTAAGATTAACTGATCATAGGTATAGGGTTTATTTTTGGGGTGATGAAAATATTCTGGCACTGAACAGAAGTAATGAGTGCATAACATAGTGAAAATACTAAAAACCACTGAAGTGTATAGTTTAAGATGGTGAATTTTACGTTATATAAATTATATCTCAATTTTTAAAATACTAAAATAAATTATTAAGGGCATCACTGTATTTGGACTGGCACTTATTTTTTTTTCTTATAACAGCATATTGTATACCTTTTTTTCCCCTTTTTTAAAATTATACTTTAAGTTCTAGGGTACATGTGCACAACGTGCAGGTTTGTTACATATGTATACATGTGGACTGGCACTTATTTACTCAGCATACTTTATAGTTTCTTCTTTTTTACTGATACAAAATATTTTATATATTTATGGGGTACATGTGAGTGTTACATGCATAGACTATATCATGATCCAGTTGTGGTACTTGGAGTATCCATCAAATACTCAATTACCTTGAGTATTTACCATTTCTATGTGTTGGTAACATTTCACGTCCTCTCTTCCAGCTACTTGGAAATATACAATACATTGTTGCTAACTGTAATCACCCTACTGTGCTATAGAATATTGGAGTTTATCATAGGTTCTTTGGAAACTGTTAGTTAGGCGCAGACTGGGTCAAGATTGTGGTATCCCTTGCAGAATTGTTAGGAATATATAAATTAGATTAGACAAATGGCTGCATTATTTCTTAGAGCTCTTTATCAGAGCGTTTTAATAATATTTAGCATGCTATCCTATACTTGAATGCATATATTTCCAATAGACTGTGAACTTAAGAGTGCAAAGACCAGGCCCTTTTCATCACTGTACTCTGTGTGCCTGAGACAGTACTTGGAACATAGCAAGTGCACAATAAATGTTTTGCTTTAAAGTACTATTACTTAATGAAAGAAAAGTTTACCTTCCAGGAGACATTTGGCAATGTCTGGAGACATTTTTGATTGTCAGAGCTAGAGGGGTGTGTGCTACTGGCATCTGTAGATAAAGACCATTGTTAAATATCCTACAATGCACAGGACAACTCCCAACAACAATGATCTGGCCCAAAATATCAGTTGTGTAGAAGCTGAGAAGCCCTGTTCTAAATGTTTGAGTGACTTATGAATCCCTAAAATTAATTCCATTAAAAAACGAAAAAAAGTCTCCTTCAAGAAAAAGTAAATGTTAAAATCATCCTTGCATTTGGTGCTCTCAGTAAATGAAATGTCTCAGACCATATCTTTATAACTCTTAACTGAGTAATCAAATTTGTGGGAGAGGCAGGCCATGAGGGAAATCTACAAGGTTGTTTAACTTCCCGACTTTGACTTACATATTATTAACTTGCATAAAGTTCAGTTCTGTAGCAGAAAGCACATGGTAAAATGTGCATTCCTTTGTCTGTTAAAGAGCCCAGGAAACATTTTTACAGTGTATTTAATATGTGTAAGGAAATCATCACAGCCCTCCACTAAATATACAATGCAAGTATTTTCCTTCGAAGTCTGGTAGCAACCCTGTCCAATACCAGGGCCATAAGTAGGTAAACATGCAGTGAACTTCATCCATGGCGGCACTACTTGGGGGCACTTGGTAGGGGGCAGGGGGCTCACCTTTTTCAGGCATCTAGATCAGGCAAGCTACAGCTTGCGGGCCAAAGCTAGGTGATCCCTCTTTGTAAACAGCCCATGAGCGAAGAATAGTTTTTACATTTTTAAATGTTCAAAGATGGAACAAAAGGAGAATACTATATCATGACACAGGAAAATTATATGCTATTCAAATTTCAGTGTCCATAAATAAAGTTTTATTGGAACACAATCATACCCATCTGTTTACTATTGCCTATGGCTGCTTTTGTACTTGGACAGATATCTTATGGCCCTACAAAGCCTAAAATACTTACCATCTGGCTTTTTACAGAAAATGTTTGCCGATCTCTGCTCTAAAATTAAGCAGTTTAGCAAATTGGGTTTCCAGGAGGTCATGTGGAATGGGAACGAGCCCTGGGCTAGAATTCCCAACACCCAGCTCTGCTGGGGATGTGACTCCACTCCATTGGACTGGAGTTTCCTCCTCTGTAACATGAGAGGGCTTTGCTGAACGAGCCCTTCCAGCTCTTAATCATCTATAGTGTGTGTTGATTCCTGTCTATTCAATGGTTCCCAGGTGCCAGTGGGGTAAAAGTGCAGAGCTCTGGTCTGGGACAAAGCCGCAGGACCAGAAAGTCACTGAAATAGACAAAGAACTGGATAGTTGCTGTGCGTATACAGAGCAGATCCGAAAAGTGGCACTCTACAAGGTTCAAAAACATACATTTTGGACATCTTCATGTGCCCTAGTTTTATAGATTATGTGATCAAATTCTTTTAACCGTGGGGAAGAAGGAAATGGTTGAAACTAATTATTGAGGAAGGCTGGCAACCCCAAAATTCAGGTTTTCAAAATCTAATTTAGCACTTACTGCGGGTTCGTTGAAATTAACCAGGTAATTGACATCTCTGGTTCTTTTAGTAGTAGGGAAGAGTTTCTGTTGTCTTTTCTATTTTCTCAATACTAACATGTAGTTCTTTATCTGCAGTGCCAGGCATCACGGGTTGTTAGCATCGGCACATCAGCCTGGGGTCTGTCACTATGGAACTAGACTAGCCTGCTGCTACGGCTGGAGAAGAAACAGCAAGGGAGTCTGTGAAGGTAATTTTGTAAAAACTCAGACCCTGCACTTGGATCAGGGCCCTTAGGTTTTTATCTGTCACACCATGAACTGCCACAAAATTGCCAGTGGATCTCTTAGGCAAGGACATGCATAACTACCAATAACCAAGGTCTGGGTTCCTATGAGATCTCTTCCCAGACAAAATGTGGCTGATGCCATCATACTTGGCATGATTTATTTTAGAAGATGTCTTGTCAATTATTTTTGTGATTATCTTAGTGAGTATGACTGGGTTGTTTGTTTTTGGTTTTCTTTTTAATCTAAAGGAACTAAGATGGGCAAAAGCAGGCCAGTAAATTCCTCCTCTAATTATAGTTTAAGTGATTTCCAATGAAATACACTTTTTAATTATTAATCATCCAACTAGTAGGCTTCAGCCACAAAACAAGTACACCTTTTAGCTTATAGATTTGTTACTCACATTTTTAAAATCCATACTGCCAATTTCTAAATGTTTTCAAGGTACACATGCATATATGCAAAGATTTTAAGTATTTTGCTGATTTTTTGTACATTGCAAACCAAGGAACCATAATTTGCCTTGGACATTGTTTCTCAGACTATGTGTTAGGAACTCCAAGAGAGGTCTCTGATCATTTCAAGAAGGTTGGGGAGGGCAGAGATGAGCATAAAGTTTTTGCCTTTCTTTTTTTTTTTTTTTTATGACTTTCCATAACGACCAACACTGGCAATGTAGTGGAACAAAATCCACATTCCTCCTAACTGACTGTCTCACCAGGGGTGTATTCCTTCAGGGCAGGAGTCTACTCTCACTGTCCCTGTGTCCTTCAGTAGGTAGCATGTGCCTCATCCTAAGTTCTTTATCTATTAAATGGGATAACAACACAATTGCAGGTCCCATAAAAGTACTAACATGTTAGTTATTTTAGGAATAACAATGCTACCTTCTTTTTGCTGGTCTATTCCTGCCCCAACCTCCTTCTCTCTGGCTGGTTAAAAAATATCTGGATTGACCATAAGTGGGGTCAGAACTTGATAATATCCAAAATCTATAAAACAATAGAAAACACTAATACTGTTCCCACATGTTCCATATTATGTAAAACCTTCTGCCATCATAGTTTGCTTGTGACAAGATGACAAGAGCATGAAAATACTAGACAAAAACAAAGATCATCATTGCCCACTTAGATAAAGGAAGTTAGAATATCCTCCTGGGACTTGTGTCAATTAAAAGAGTGGGTTCCCATCCTGATTGGATT